AAAAGGGAATAAAGAGACAGTCCGTGCACACTGTGTGTGTGGGGTCTGATCTTTCCACATATGCCTTCAAGCTGGGCAATAAAAAATGTGTGAAAAAGTGTAATATTATTCATCTGTAACCACTGTTGCTACCATGATATTACTTGCATATTAAGTGGTTTTTACTTTGGTAATTGAGTGGTAATAACTTACTTGCTTCTTAAGACTTAGTGAATACACCCTGATATGATGTAAGAATGCAATCAAACTGTTAACAAAGTGTGATTTTTAGGACACAAAATCCTAACATTAGCTGGTGTAATGCTAGCTCTCATAGCATGCCTATTCTGGTGACAATAAATAACCGCAACATCATCAGGAATAAACAGGTATGTTTATGTGTTTCTGTGTGTTCGAGCTTTGACTTGAGTTCACGAGATGAGGCTTGCGGTGAGGAGGATGAGGATGACATTTTATTAAGATGCTGCTGGTGTTGTGTCTTTCCTTTGCGTTTTTTGTTTTCATATTTTTTTGGTTAAAACAGACATTTCACATCAGCGCCTATAATATCTTTTCTCTTCCACCTTTGGTGATATTTGCAGGGGCCGATCTCTCGTCACATAAGTAAAATGCAATTAGTCAAAACAGGGATGTCGTTCGCTGACACTGTATTCAAATATGGCTACTGTGTGTTTGTGTATGTGTGTGTGTGTGTGTGTGTGTGTGTGTGTGTGGGTGTGTGTGTGTGTGTATACACTTTAAGAAACTGTCTGCCACATTAGCATTTTACATTGTAAGCACTGCTTCATTTTAGCTGTTTTTGTGTTAATGTTTTAGGAAGCATTTTTCACCCTCTGTGCAATGCCTTGTAAATACACGTTCTGCAGTAAAAAGACTAAACTGTAGGGAGCCAGAATCATAACTCATAAAGACTATGCACTGTGCAAGTGAGTGGGTGTGTTTGCTGAAGGGAGATAATCTACCTGTGTGTGTGTGTGTGTGTGTGTGTGTGTGTGTGTGTGTATAACTGAGTGTCCTTTGGGGAATGTGTTCTCCTACATTAAGACCTCTCCCTGCCCCTTGATGGTAGAATCAGGATAGTATGTTACCATGACAATTGGCTCCATAACGGTTACAATTACATTATGTGAAGAAGCCAGTGATTGTCAAAGAGACTGAAAGAATGAAGAGGAAGTATGGAGATGAACAAACACTTGAAAATAAAAGTGAGAGAGAGAAGAGAGAAAAATGACAGGTTAGACAGATTTATATAAATAAGAAACTAATGAATCAGGATGGATTATGAAGAAAGAATTTGCAGAAGAAAGAGACAAACATGAGGAACAAATTTATTAAACCCCTCAAAACATGACTATCCAGAGTAAGGACCAGGAAGCAGAGTTGCAGTCTTACACGCCTCTCTGCAGCTTCTCTCCTCCTGCTACCCCCCCAAAAACCCATCTCCATAGAGACTGTGTCTGCTTCC